AACGAAGCCCTCCTCTACGGCTGACGAGCAACACCGCAAGTCGGCACGTCCCCAATCACCCAGAGCCATCACCCCACAGATTGAGACCCGAATCGAAGCACCGACCCTGAAACTGCAGTAAAGGCCTAACAAGACCCAACCCTCCAATCCCGCTGTCTCAGGAGGCTGACCACCCATAGGCCAGGCCAAAATCAACCCCAAATCTCCACCCCATTCCTACATACAGCCAAAGTCTTTCAACCACCGTAGCCACCAACCAAAACCACCAATTGAGCCATCGCCCAACCCCAGGATCGACGGAGACCCAGGAGGGCAGAGCACCAACGGCTCCAAGCCCAAAACCCTGCGACAACCACCCACAGAACTAGCCGGCGGCCGGATCTGAAACCCTCACTACCCGCAGTCCCAATACCATGGAGACGGAGAAATAGGGGAAAAAACGGAACTAACCTTCATACCGACCACCGGCAAGTGCCCAGCCGAAGACGACCCCACCCGGTCGAATCCTTCACCTCGACGGCACCTCCACATTCCGAGATACAACCAAGAGCAAACGGCGAAAGCCCGATGGCCGGGAGGTCCTCGAAACGACGGCATGCTGAGAAGAAGCACCAGTCGGCGATGGTGGATGTGCGGCGGCGCGATGCGCCCTGCTGCAGAGGAGGTAGAGATAATTTGGGGATCTAGGTTAGGATGGAGATTTTCAGCAAATTAATTGATCATGATCTTTCAAAATTACAAATATTACATTATTTATTATATTTTATGCAATCAATATAGTGATTCATGTGCAATCAAATAGTTATGTCCTATTTATTTTAACTAATAATCAACTTTTAAAACATAATACCATTATCTAACTTATAATTTTAATATTATATGCATAAATATAACTTATAGTACTCTATATTTATAATTTACTACAATTATCTAACTTATAATTATAATATTATATGCATATAAATAACTTATAATACTTTATTTATATATGTCCAAAATGCACAGGGTCGAATACTAGTATTACTAATTAAATATCATATGTTTTAAAACTAGCCAATTAATGATATTTAAGAGGTGTAAATTATGGGGACATTTTCACTTATCCTACACGATTGCAGGAATATTGCAAATTTACCTTTAATACACAATTAATTGTGTATATACCTAATAGCTAGTAATTAATTATATTGTTTCCTAAAAATCAGTTACAGATCTTGATTCCATATTTGATAGTTACAAATCTTCGTCTCCCTCGGTGAAAAAAAAAAAAATCCCTTAGAAAGTTCCCAAAAGAAATCCGTCATCTTCCTCGGCAAGGAGGCCACCAATTTTCCGGCAACGAGAAAATCGTGCGAGTCGGCGATCCACGAGCACTAGAAACCTCGATTTCAGGCAAGGAGATTCGAGGGCACCCGAGATGCACCAAATTCCGGCGAGTACCAAGAGCACCGGGCCATTCACGACAGGCAGCACACTCCGGCTGCAGCCCTCGGCCAAGATAGGCGCGCCTGCTTCGTATGCGACAGTGGCCATGTTCCAAGACACGAGTTTTTCCAGCCACAAGCCCTCGGAAGTCAAGATCTTAAAAGGAAGAAAACAATACAGCGAAAAAGAAAGAAAAGATGATCAATTGGACTCTGCTCAACCACCGCCTGAGACCTTCTTGCCTGCTCATCTCATCTACGTGATCTCGAGTGTATATCTTAAGTATATTTTATGTATATGTGGGTTCTGGAATCCATTTTGAGAAACGATTGAAACTCGAGTGTATATTTAAAGTATATTTTATGTATATGTGGTGTGGCGGATTTGAATTACGTGAATCTCAAGTGTGTATTTTATGCATAGTTTATGTATATTCTATGTATATTTTATGTATATGCGTGTTGTACAACTTTGGTATATACCCGCAACGTGTAAATTTTCATATCTGATGGTAACATATAAATCAGGTACAAAATTTTCATACCCGAAACATATACTGAAAATATACTGTATATACCAACAACATATACCCGGCAACATATACAAAACTATCTATCAAAAAATCAAGCACATCAAGTGTTCGACAATTATCCTCTGAGAAGTTTTTTGTCAAAACAGATAGAAAAAAAGTATATATGTAACATATACTATATATATGTTCATCATATACTGTACATATATTGTATGAATGTCTGGATATTGAAGTGATTGAGAGTATCTATGCTGAAAGGTCTGTGTACGGTTGTTGGTTATTCTGGGTGGGTGTTAAGGATCCAAATGGTAGGTATTTAATAAATGTTTTCATTAGAAACCGACTTGTGCCTTGTGGACTCCAACAGTTTTCTGTGCTTTATTCTGTTCAGGAGCTTCAATTTTCTTGCCAGTCATGAAATAGTACTAATGGCATATGATTCTTAATGTATTGTATATTTCAAGTGTTTGATATGTCATATTGTTACAATCAGTTAAGTAGTTTATGTTATATGATCAGTTTATATTGTTATCAATGTTTCAACATGCCGGAAGCCTAAATAAAATGTTTCAAAACGCAACATATACTGAAATATACTGTCTATAAAAGCAACATATACATAATTATGAAAAATATATTGTCTACAAACATTCGCACTCTCTCAATATACGGAAAAGTTACACAACATATACTGTACAAATACCACAAACACAACACAAACGATAGAGGCGCGATCGATCTTTTTTTAAGAAAAGTTACGCAAATATACCACCAAAAAATAAAATAAAATAAAATAAAAATTGTTGATTAAAATCAAAGTATATTAGTATATCAACTTCGTTTTCAACCAGAAAAATCTTCTAATATACCAAACATCAACTATGAATAAAATATTGAAAACAAAAAAAGCAAAAACAAAAACATCCCATTCACAAACTAATTTGTATATAACTAATATACCAAACATAAATTAATATGTACAATAACTACACATATCCTTAAGATGTGCATATACTGTACATATACTGTACATATACCGTACATATGCTGACCATACACTAATTTTTATAATGAAAAAATCAAACCGAACATCGATTTTCTTAAACCCAACCAACCATCTCCCCCAACCATGGCGACGCTGCAACCCTAAACGAGGACGCCGGCGGAAATTGAGGATATCATAAAACTCTTCGAAATGGTTTAAGCTTGGGATGCACTTGATCATTCATGACGGATATAGAGAATGGAAAATCCATCTCCGATCGTTATCCCACGCCGCCATAGACGTCTCCGAACTCGCCTCCGATTTCTTTCTCCTCAACCCAGGCAGAAGAGAAACCCCGTTTCCGTTCGGACCTCTGCGCCGCCGGATCAGCCACTGGCATCTCGTTGGCCGGCCATCCAATCGACACCCGGGGCGGTGGGGGCTCCCTCGCCCTTCCCGGCAGAGGAAAATTTCGCCTCAGCGTTCGATCTATCATAAAAAAAAATAGAGAAAATTTTTAACTTGAAGAGAAAATATAAACATAAAGTTGTAGAAGAAGAAGAAGAGAGAGAGAGACGGAGAGGGAGAGAGAAGAACCTGTGGGGATGTTGAACGTGGGCGGTGGGTGATCTTTTGATACCGAGATGGAGAGTGTATTTAATTTGCTCGTAAAATCTGTAATTTTTCTTAAATCTCTGTTATAATTTAAACTGTTACTCCTTAGGTATATTAACAATATTTTAACCTGAATTTGGTAATTATATAAATATTTATATAATGAGTGTATAATTATAATATAATTAAATTGGTGAAGTAGGGGGTGCAATTTCCTCTAAATTATGCATTTTTACTTCAAAAATAAAAATAACTAAATGTACAAACATATTACGGGCCGATTGGCACCACACACCTTTTAAGGATAGAAAGAAAAATAGTGTTTGTCCTAAAATAAAAATCTATATATATATAGACTGTGTTTGGTAAGCCAAATAAGCTAGCTTAGAGCTTATTTGGTTAGCTTATAAGCTCCCTGTATTGAAATAAACCTCGTTTGGTAGGACGAACTTTTTCAAAAAGCTCGAGCTTATCTCATAAGCTACTTTAGGTAGTTTTTCAAATAAGCTAGTTGATTTTTTTATTTCAGCTAGCTTATCAGCTAATTTTACCAAACACTTTTATCATATAAGCTAGTTTTTCAGCTATAAGTCATAAGCTATAAGCTAAAAAATTACAAATAAGCTATAAGCTAGCTTATCAGCTATCAGCTAGCTTATCAGCTAGTTTTACCAAACAATAGCCATAATAAGAATTACCATTTACTAAAAATAGTAGCCAAAATTTTAGGAAACATTTAATGCATACCATTTTTGGAAACTTTTTAAATATATACATTAATTGTTTCCATATACACGTTTTCAAATAAGATCAAATAAGATATGATCAAAAAATTACTTAAATAAATTTATTAATATCTGCAATATTATCATTGATATTAATTTTAATAAATTACAACATTGATTTTTCGTGATTCATATTGATAATATTTTGGTCAAGATAAATATTGTTTTGTTAATATTTGTAATACTTTCATTGATATTCATTATAATAAATTACAAGATTGATTTCCATGAACCATGTTGATAATATTTTGGTCAAGATAAATATTACACCATATATTCAATTTATTAAGGTGTTTCATGCACACTGTTTTCGACCAAGAACGTTTTCTAAAACTCTTTTTTTTTAAGTTCTAACCATAATATAATTTTTTTTTTCACAAATATTCAATTTTTACCCAAAAATATTTATGGAAAATCATAACATGTTAGATAGAATGTAATCAGACAAAATCAAGTTGGTGGATTAATCTTTGCCAGTATATTTTTTTCTTAAGCTTTATTTTATTAAATATAAAAGATAAATTGTTCTTCAAATTAATATAATTTACCATTTAAGAGATAATGACCATATAAATTAAATAGTGTTACTGATGGTAAAAATTAAAATTTAAATATATTAACTATTTTTAGAATTTATTTGTATATTATTGGCACCCATGATTTTTTTTTTTTTTTTTTGATTTATTTCTATAATTAAATTCTTGCAAAATAAATTTTTATTGCAGAGTATGCTAAATAAACTATAAATCCTTATAATGCGAATTAGAAAAATCTTGATCATAGAAGGGATTGAGTTTTTGGCATTTTCTAAATCAAAGTTGTTTAATTAGTATCAAAATTAAATTCTAAAAAAACATGTGTATATTTTGTAAAATATTTACACACTATTTAATTCTAAATTTATTTACATATCTTTAATTGGTTACATAAATAAATAATACTAACGTGTATTAAATATTTTTCATTACATAAAAGAAAAAGAAAAAGAAGACGTACAACTTCTATAACTTTATAAATAATAATGACATTATATGACAACAAAGTTTATAATAAAATATTAATTAAGTATTATATGGTGAACAAAATTAATTAAAATTGTTATTCTCTCTTATATCAAGGAATAAATATATATAATAAAATCAAATTTATTTTAATATAAATGTGTTACTGAAATAATATATTAATTGTTTTACAAGCTAGCCTAACATGCTCATATTTAATGTTTTGATTAAAAAAGCCACGCTGATTAAAAGAGGTGCAAAATAGATTATAACCTTATTGTTTATTAAACTTAACTCTGATTAAAAGAGGTGAAAAATATATGACAACCCTATTACTTTATATACTTAAACAGACAAAGACGGTGAAAATAACCATTTAATATATCTGTCCCGTGCATCGTACGGAGTACATACTAGTATATAGGTAAAATAGAAGCAACATGTAAATAAATACAGGCTGCTTCGTTTGTGAATTTTGTTTTAGGAGTAAAATAAATGCAACATGTAATTAATTAATACAACCTGCTAATTAGGAGTAGAATAAATGCATGAGCAAAAATTGCATCCCAATTTCGTGCTTCATGCAAATGGTATGATATATTGACTAGTACTCATCCCGTGCATTTGCACTTTGGGCGAAACCAGAAAATTAGTTGAGAGGGAGCAAAAGACATGACATAATTTTTAAGGATAACAAAAATGCATAAAACAATTTACCTTATAGTTACAATTGTCAGTAGAGCTGTAAACGAACCGAGCGTTCGCGAACAAAAGCTCGTTCAAGCTCGTTCGTGTTCGACAAAAGCTTATTCCTTTGTTAATTGAGCCGAGTTCGAACAGAAAATTAGACTCGTTTAATAATCGAACGAACACGAGCTCGTTCGTGAACGTTCGATTATGTCCGCGAACATTAATTTAATATAAGTTTATTTTATTTTTATATATTTACATAATATTTTTAATAAAAAATCTAAAATTTAATACAATTCTATTTATTTTTTATATATCTACGTAATATTTTTAATAAAAAATATAAAATATATTAATATTTTTATTTTATTCTTTTATTTTCGAGTTCGAACGAGTTCGAACGAACAAATTTCGAGTTAATCAAACATATTTAAAAAGTTTATGTATTATATTATTCGAACATGAACGAACTCGAACCTTGACGAACAATTAAACGAACGAACTCGAACACGATTTTTTACTCGAAAAATAAATGAACGAACACGAACACTGTTCGAACGTAAATGAACACGAGCTCGAACAGCCCAAGCTCGGTTCGATTCGGTTCGGTTACAGCACTATTTGTGAGTGCCGTTTAAAAAAAATCTGGGGGTGCAAAAAATTATTTAAGATGGGGGCAAATTAATTTTTTAATTATCATAGTAAAAAAAAATAAAATTTGAGGGGGGGAAATTGCCCCCCTGTAAATAAATGTACATTCGCCCTTGATTTGCATGTAGGAGAATACTTAAAAAAGATAACAATATAAAAAGAAAAAAATAAAAATACATAATCATAATTTAATTCATGAAAAAAAATATGAACTAAGAAAATGATTCTAAATATTATTAAACATTTCTTCATATACAACATTCATGGTTTTCATATCGTCGGTATCACCATCACCACATATCATTATATCCTCAAACTCTTCCGATTCGTGAATTTAGAAGAACAACGTACAATTGTCCATGACTGAAAACAGGGTTCGTCAAGACTAAGCAGACTGTTAGAGAGACTGGTCTTGACTTTTGTTGATCGTCATAACATATGAGACCATGATAGGAAATGGTCCCCACTGAAACTTGAACAGTACCTACCCTCAAACAAATAAGTTGTTGAATTGGGTTGGATAACATATTAAAAAAATGTTGTGAATTGGGCTTAATTTTTTATAAAAAAAAAAAATTGTAAAGGCGACTAACCAATATTCACGGTAAGACTATTTGTTTAATGGGCCCGATTTGGTAAAGCCCCAAAAAAATAATTTTCAAATTGAACCCAATACTCCTTTTTTTAAA